CGAGCTTCTGGCTAACAAGAGAGGTCGTTCAGGCCGTGGTGAGCTTTTTCAAAACGGTTTGTTGCATGTTGTAGGGGTCTATGCGAGGACCATAGCGATGGGGTTCATTTTTGCTAAACGGTACTGGGAATGTCAAAAAAGGTCAAAAATAATTCGAAAAGAATGGGCTTTTTAAACCACCTTATTCGCCTCTGTTCTAGCTGTAGCGTTGACAGGGTATAGTATGTAGGGTATCCTTTGAGCAGGCATGAAAAACAGCGCAAAATAAGGTCAAAATCCAAATGGTCTACTTGGCATGCGGTGAGCTGCATTGGAGTTTTCCGGTCATCTGCGATTTCTCTTCAAAAGGTTGTGCATGTAGTGGATAGCGTGACGGGCTCTCATTCGGAGGGTTTGTGGATCGGATCCCTTGGCGGTGCAACTTTTGCATTCTTCAGATTTCTTGCATCTTGCATTCTTGTATGCCCCATAATGTGTATGACCCGGATATACGCCATTTAAAGACACATTCCATGCGGGAACGGTTCACAACGGGGCCTCACTCAATTATTACGCTCGCGAAATACTATCGAAGAAACTCTATGAAACTTGGGTTACGGCGGTTATCCGATGCTCTGATCATGAACATGACACTCATTTTTAAATATGGCGCAATGTGTCGCCAATTTGGTGCAAAGGCTTTCTCGTACTAGCATCATTGTCAGTCTGCGCGGCGGGGCTATTTAGCGCCGTACTGGCCCCAGATGGCCTCCGCGGCAAAAATAAGTGTCAGAACCGTGATCAGGACCATCAACTACCCCTACGTATAGAGTTACGCCGGAAAAAATTTTCCGAGTTTTTTGTGTTATGATGCCTGCCATGTCTCCAGCTAGTGGCTATCAGTCCCCCCCCCTAAAGAGTCGTTATTCAACATCGTTAAGAGGGGCTTTTCATTTGTTAGTATGCAGACGAGAATTAACAACTACACAAAAAAGTGAGGCACATACACTGCACACCACTAATACCTTTGATATGGGAGAAACAAGATCTTTTTTTTCCCGGCAGGTGGTAAGGAGCTCTTTGTCGAAGTGTCGAGGACGGCTAAAAGTGCGAGAAAAGTCAGTATGGACTCGTATGCATTGATCCGAAGGCCAGCACGGCTGCTCTCATGTTGAACCTGCTGAAGTTGAGAGTGCAAGAAATGAAAAATTTCTGGTGGTTTGTATGCCAGAGAGGATACTCAATGGTGGTTCGCCTGTCACTGCCATCCAAATGGTCAAGTCCATGACCACCAAAAAACTCGAAAAAAAATTTTTTCGCTGAAACCTCTTAAACAGGGGTAATCAATGGCCCTGGTCACGATTCTGACAACTTATTTGTGGCGCCGACGTGATCTGGGGCCAGGGTGGCGCTTTGCCAATGCGAGCGCGAAGGAATGCTGCATAAACCCCTAAAGAAACTGCAGTGTACCTCACTGTATGCAAAGTAAAGCACTTCAATTTCGACCTTATTCAATATTGTTTTTCATGTCTAGTTGAGGAACACTTTATAAACTCTATGTATTCTGCTTTACAGCTGAAACAGATGCGAATGAGATGATAAAACTTGCGTATTTTGAGCGATTTGTTTTTATTCCTTTTTTGACATTCCCAATAGCGTTTAGCAAAAATGAAACCCATCTGTGTGGTCCTTGGTATGGACCTAACACATGCAACATCAAAGCGTTTTGAAAATAGCCACACCACACCTCGGCCTGAACGACCTCGGCCTAACCACCCTCCCACACTCAGTAACATGGCGTCCCACGCCCGCAAATCTTGCCCAAAAAGACTGCCAAGAAGAGGGATGAGTTTCAGTAAAGAACACAGGTTCACAACCGCTCAAAGATATACAAACATCAGCTCTAAGAAGGGTGCTTACCTCATGTGCGATCGGATGAGAGAGATCTCGCAGAGCAGGAGCGTGCTACTTTCTCCGCTCAAAAGTGCACGGGAACTAAAAGGCTTCTATAGCAGGGTGCTGTCATCATACTCTGCCCGTGCTGCCCACGGCCAGGCACATACCATTTCAACGACGCACCGTTGTCTGCGCCCTCTTCACTTACTGGTTGTTGCTCTACAGTTGAGTGTGTGTTTTGCTGCAGGACTTCGGTATTAGAAAAAATGGCATGCTATTGTGGGTGTGGACCCATTCACCTCGCACATAGCAAGCACTATCTTTGATGAGTTGACAGCTGTTCTTTGAATTGCGGTACCGTTGCCCATAGCAAGGCCATCTTCCCATATCCTCGCTCATAAGAAGTAGAGGTGCACGTGAGGCAAACAGTAGATATCGTCGCGATCCAGCTGGGCAGCGTCAAGAGGCGTGAAATGAGCTCGGTTCTTCCACTTTGCCGATTGTGTTGGAAAACCCGGGTATCAGAAGAAGCGTCGCAGTAGACCTGCTCCTAACGCCCCATGCCCCCGGGGGATTAGGGCAATACAAGTATATACAGGGGTACAGCATCGTTGTGCGAAACCCATAGGGGGGGGGGTCGTACTTGGCCGCTGGGGAGGGGGGGGGTCGTAATCCCAAGGGTCACTCAGAGCGGGCAATGCTTCGACATTTAGTTTGAATAGTTGGTAGTGCGAGGCTATGAAGTTTGAAGATGAAAAAATGGAAAATTATTATGAGTGTATTCTTTACAGATTGAACTGCTACGTTTAACAACAGCCTCTTTTCATGCAAAATCCCCAAAACTACTTAACGGTTCGTACTTGGACCAGCCGGGGGACCATGAAATATTCGCAAAAGTAGGCGCTAGGCTTCAAACCGTACAAAAGTGTCATTGCTAATTTTGATGGAAGGGACGGAAAGCTGCAGAAGACCCGGATGTATATAGGACTACAGAATAATCACCTGTATCACCTGTGCTCCCGTTGATCATCGAGTTCCTCGAGCGGGCGCCAGTAACGTCTCCATTCGTCCCTGCAACGTGCAAGAGTTGCCCAATGAACTCTCTCAGCTCGAGGGACACGATGAACTTCATACCGTTCGTTCAGAGCTTTCACGAAGAAGTCTGACCATCGCATAGGCGGTCGTCCAGGCGTTCGCTTGACATCCCGTGGAATCCAGTCGGTGACTGCTCTGGTCCAGCGGTCGTCCTCGAAACGCATGACGTGTCCGGCCCACCTGATCTTCGAAACCTTGGCAAATGCGGCGGCGTCTCTGATCTTCGATCGTTGGCGGAGTGCGGAGCTCCGGATTCCCTCTCTCACTTGCGTGTAGCGGGAAACTCCGAGCATCGCCCTTTCGATGGCGCGTTGAATAACGCCGACCGCATGCTCATCCTGCTTTCGTAGAGTCCAAGTCTCTGAGGCGTACGTCAAGGCAGGAAGGACCGCGGAATCGAAGAGGTGGGCCAGACACAGAATAATAAAAAATTTATTAGCAATATAGCAAGAATATCAAGAATAAAAAATAAATAAATAAATATCAGTTAATAGCATGAACTCGTAAGTACGTAGATGACTAAGTATACATTATCAAATCAGTTTGCGTGTGTATTGTCCTTTCAACACCCTAAACAAGCATCTGCTGTAGATGACAAGCCCCTCAAATTAGGAATTTATACGTTCGCATCACCTCTGTGTAGACGTAATGCACTGGCGGGCAACGCTCGCCAAAGTCGATCAGTGGTAGCCGAGCTCATCTTCACTCCTTTGAAGGGAAATTATGTGTTTTGGAGTTTTCGAAGGTGTATCCTCACAATGGCACAGAAGGAGTCGATTTTTCGGGTGGGTCAGAGGGTAGCGCGTCTGTGACCCATCTAAAATATCTCCTGAACTAGTGGGTCTTCAGAAGAACTGCAAAGCTTGGAAAGACAAGAGATAGGGCGGTTTCAAGACTATTTTAATCCTGATGAAATTGCGTTCGAAATAAGTAGTCCTCGTGTGAAGCATAAAAACCCGCTTGCCATTTACCCCTAGCCTATCCAAAACCCATCCGGAATATTTCACCAACGGGGGATTGTTCAGAAAAGAGATATAAGCTCCTGAATAGACTCCAGGACGCTGACTTTCAAGTTAACCGCGCTCCAGTGACGTTTTTGCAGCGAAAGCGGTTGCGACCTTGCGATCGATAATAGCCAAGTATAGAGCGATTATACTGCCGCCTGGTTATCCATTTTTTCATTTCTTTTGTATTTTTCTTGGTTTCGCTTGTTGTTCGTTCATTTTTTGATTTCCCCGTCACCATTCATTAAGTGCAACACTCTGAAGCTTGACAGACGCTGACCTTGGGGATATTTTTCACTAGTGGAATATGAATGAGCATTAGCTTATCAATAATAACTGTAATTGTAGGTAATGCGAGGCTGTTGTTCAGCCTCATATTGCATGAGGCTGAAACAGCCTCTTATTGCCTGGATTTTAGAGCAGAGTCCGCCTTTCGAAAATCCAGATTCCATTTCAGGAAGCCATTTGTGGTGAACATGCATCTGGCATGCTGCTGAGTACATAACAGAAGCGTGGCGTTGCGGTCGATTTTCTCTCGCCGTTGTGCGAGCAGCACTTCTGCCCGTGCCAACTTTTATCTGGCCACCTGCTGGGAGACCCTGCATTTTGAAAAGGCTCCATCAAGGCGGATCATACATAATCAGCCACGATAGCGTTAAAAGGTCGGTAGTGGAGGATAGAGAACTGGGGTATGTTCCGAGAGTTTTCGACGAATTCATCCACTTCTTGCTTCACCGGTCAGCGGGAACCAACAAATTTAAGTTTGGTCCTCACTGCCCACGACTTGAGAATGGGTTGCGCCTCACAGGAAGAACATTTTTCAACCAGTTTGATGGGATCGTTCAGTGCCGATAGCCGTTCGCGTTCATTATTGCTCGCCATGTCGTGAGCAGCGACATTTTGCGCATTTTGCGGGATACGTTGCCCTCTTTCACTTTCTAGTCAGCAGTTTCATTTGCACGAAAGTTTTCTGTACACAGATCGTGCATATCGACCCACTTCTTTTTCTGTACATTTGCCTCTGAATCACAGTGGAACGGTGGAGTGATTCGACATATTGAAACATACGCATACCTGTCCTTCCGGATCCTGCGGCTTTGGAGGTGGTCGAGAAATAGTCTCTTCCCTATCCGGTAAACATATGGGTGTAGCCCATTGACTAGGAACGCTTTCAGCTAATTCGAGGACTGCTATATCATCTTCCAAGCTACATTCATCGTAGTCCTCATGGTAGTGCACCTGGAAGTACTTATGAGAACTGCGAAATAGCGAATAGAATCTGCCAAAGACTGGAGTATTGCATTTACACGAGCAACCCTCAACCACGGTATCCGGCATCTTTGCGGATCAATACATCGACTGCCGACGAAGACCCAATACGTACCGGTTTTAAACCGGTGAGTGTTTCTGAAAAAAATGTAGAGTAGCTGAGGTAACGGATTTCAGAATCGATCTTGAAGTTCAATCACTAACCTGTGGCCATTCCTTCTGCACTCCATCTTCGTAAGAACAGATTTCCTTTTCTTATAAAGCAAGCAATGAGCTGCAGTCAAAATATGACGTGGCGAGATCAATACTCCACTGCATTTAGAATCTGTAATCATGAGTATCTACTGGCGCTATCAAGCTCTCCAGGGAGAGGTGTGGGGGAAGAAGGAAGAAGCAAGCGCTTGCACGGCTGTGTCTACTCCCAAAGCTATGCCGCCCTGAGTCTGATCCTCTGCGCTGTATCGCATCTCAGAGAGAGGTGGTCAAGCCAAGCGTAAGTTGCTGCGCCGTTGCACGCGGCACATTATGTGGCAATGAGCTCATTTTTTATCGGGCAATATTAGCCTCTTGATTGGATCAGCGCACTATGTTACGACGCACACACTTGTGGCTATTTTCGGTTTCACCTCGCTTTGAGGCACGGCGTCAGAATCACTCTCACCAACGCGACGAATTACGATCCTCTTGTCACATTCCCACTCTGAGCTTTGGCCAGGGGTAAGGAACACCAACGCGTCATGTGCTCCAACCTGCTCCTTCTCTCCGGGCTAACATTTTTTAATATCACTCAGTGGATTTTGCTTCGCCTCTTCAGTTGAGCGATACTCACTGAATCAATGCATATGTTGTGTTTACATGCTTCGCCTCTTCAGTTGAGCGATACTCACTGAATCAATGCATATGTTGTGTTTACTAGGACAAGGCTTCAACACCAACTATTAGGTTGGAGCATATGCTTTTTCCCCTGTTTCGATCCTTCCGTATTTCGTTTGCATGGATGTTGGTATTTCGTCATCACGTGTGCGTGACGTGTGCATGATACTCTTTCATCACACTAGCTATCACTCACCCATCCTGCATTTGCAGGCCACAATGCAGCAAAATTACCACTGTGAAACCATGTCACAGTGGTGATTGTGCGGCATTGTGGCCTTCTTCAGGTTCCAGCCCTCGTCCTTCTGGGAGGATGGAATCGACAAGCTGCCTGAGCGTTGGCGTCGAGTAGTGGATGGTGATGGTGCATACCTCTAATCTTCAGGTTGGTTCGCTATTGAGATATTTACAAAAAGTCGGGTAAAAACATATGCATCAACCTAAAATATCATCTAATGTACATCCGCACAACGTCTTAAAAGCCAAGAAGTTGATTGAAGGATCCTTTGCTGCTCGCATAGTCTGTTATCCGATGAATAAACACAGACAGGGAAGCCCTAACATGTGCATCTGCGGTCTGCAGAAATTCATTTCAGTGAGTTCATTTTGATGGATGATGAAAGTGAAGTCCGCTCACTCATGTGGAGTGACTAGGAGCTGCTCGCTTCTGCAAGCTGAGCTAACCACGAAAATGAAGGCATTCGAAAGATCTTAGGGACGATGCGACATATGAACGATCATGCCACGCCTTTCATGCTTGTGTTTTGCAATGCCACATGATATTCGACTTACTGCTACACTTGACATCACCGCAATTGTCGGGTCGCAATCTGCGGTTCTCAGCTGCGGCGTTTCCATCATTGGTTGTTTCCTTCCCAAATCGATCTTTACCCGATCGCCATTGGTAGAGCAAGGCAGCCGGACGCGGGCTCGAACCGCGCCGCTCACGCCACCTCCGCCTGTCCGCAATGATGAGGACTGTACTGCGCGTCGCGTGCTTCTTAGTCTCACGTGCACCATGAGAAGTCGGTATTGCAACGTAAACGCTGGCCTTCACTTGACGCTGATGGAATGCAGGCAAATAGATCTCTGTGCGGTTTAGGAAACAAGATTACCTAGTACAAGCAAACTGCGCTGACAAGTCAATGTTTTCGAACTCTCTGGCCCTTTAAACGGAGACGCAAGTACATCGCTCGAGCCTCCAATGCTGGTTGCGTTTACGCGGTTTAAAAGTGCCACAGGGATCTCCTGAGGGGAGTTTGGTTGATCAATATGTTCAATGCAGTGCTGGTATACTCCTTATCCCTGAGACGGGGTAGGCGTGGCATTCGAACATGGCACAGAACTGGTTACTCGTGGGATATTTCAATTTGAGACAACCGCCATCTTGTTCTTTGTTGGACAGAGACGTGACCACATTTGGGTCAAAATGAAAATATCTCTCCAAAAGCATAGCCACCACGACGTTCAGTTGAAGTACGCAGCCACGCCTACCTCATCTCAGGGATTTCGAGTGTATGTAAGCACAGCTGGTCGAGTATCACCATTGCCACCGTGATCATACTCTCGCTTCAAAGCCAGAAGCGCGCGGGTTTGCTACCCGGTGGGGCGAAGATTTTTGATTTGTTCCAGTTGGAGCTTTCACTCCTTTGCACTACCTCACCAGCGCCCCTTCGATCCTAAGTCACTGTGCAGGCCAATCCTCTGTCTATGAGCTAATACGTTTCTGAATGGAATTGGAAGGCGTGGCACGCTCTGGGAATTTTTGACGAATGAACACTTCATACTTTGTCCTTCTAGGTTACGGACTTTTAGATCATGAGCTCATAAATTCTCTGCGCTTGCTGGAAGATTTAACCAATAAATCCTAGAAAAGTTCATTTAACGTGAGTGGTGCTTCTCTGCAGGTTCTGACCATTTCTTTCGGAGCGCACCCTGCATCAGACTCCTCTCAACAAGCTCCTTATGTCCCCATTTTGATCAACCATCAGCAGTACAAAACCACCAACTTCACAGCGGTCCATCCAGCCAAAAGTCAGTATGTAGGCCAATCCTTTATCCATCAGCTACTACTTTTCGAAATGAAGCTGGAAGGCGTGTTGTTAAAAGGTTTGTCAATACGACATACTTTATGCTTTGTCCTTCCAATTTGCTGACTTACGGATCACGAGTTCACCAATTCTCTACGCTGCTTGAAGAGTTTACCAATAGTTCTAGTTAAAATCCATTCAACGTGCTTCATGCTGGTCTGGCACGTCTCTGAATATTTCTTTAGGAGTGCACCGTGCATTAGACATCTCTCCAGAAGTTCGTAAGTCCCCATTTTGATCAATCATCAACAACTTCTTCGCCTACTTCTTTCCGGGTGCCTTCATTTCAGACCTATTCTTATTTGAGTTTGCGACATACTTCCACTGCCCATGACATTCTAAGGAACGCAGATTGAATGCGTTTACTCGACTCGGAAACTTCCGGTCATAGAGCGCCATTTACACGCACACAGCCGAACTCACTTCCGAATAAGAACACATAAGCCCAAATCGTTATACCGATATACTTGAAGGTCTTTGTACGCGTTAGTCGTATAAGTCTCGGTTGTCAAGCACCCTTTTCAAGCAGGTTTCCTTTGTTAGATTCTTCACTTGAGTCCGAAACCCGTCAAGCGCTCAGACCATGCATGCACTTAATGCTCGGAATCACTCATATCCTAACAGATGAGACGTCACCGTAGAGAAGCGTCCAAAGAGTCGCCTTCTGAAGATCTCGCGAAACGGCCTCCTCAGCTACAACGGAGTGGAGCGGAGTAAACCAGTTTGGCCCCCCCTGTGTGAATGTCGACTGGGTTGCCTTTTGTTGATGTTAATACGAGACTCTTGTCTAGAGCACGGAATGGGCACACATTCTCAATGCTCTTCGGTGAACGCCCGGCCTTATCGTCAGGGAAACCGAATACTTCAACTCGTACGAGATTTGAACTCAGTAATCCTCCAAGTAAAGGATATGCGAAAGTACACACTTCTGAGGTTTGTTCGAGATTCTCACAGCGTACAAACTAGCAAGAAGCATGAGCAAAGGGCATGCGATGAATGATGGTAAATGCTAGATGCTAGATACATATCACGAACACGTCATGACATTCGCTCTAAGATTTATTATACTGCGCGATAACGGGTCCTCACAGTGTTAGCGAACTGCTCTGCAGCGCTGTCCTTTTCCCTACCTCGAATAGATGAACCGTGTGTTTTGCTTCGCTTCTCTTGGTGAGACCCTTTGAGAACAGCACTTCTGTTTCATCGAACTTGTGTTTTGCACATTTTGTGGGGAATGTCTCTTTTAAGTCTAGAAAACACTCAAACGCCAAATGGGTGCCATATTCGTGTTCAGGGAGCAAAACTACCCTTGGGGACAGGTTTCTAGCCAGATGTGAGGTTTTGACCTAACTTTGAAAAGTGCGGTAGCAGTTGATCGAATGATGGTCACCAATAGTTCCAGGGCCAGTCTCTTGTCGATTGCTTGTCTTTGGACGGAATTTGCTTTTAGATACCAGGAAAACTGGAGCAGTAACAACATGAATGCGTAAGAAGTGGCAAGACGAGGCTTTGTGCAGGAGAATGTATCTGCAGCTGAATAGGTGTGAACATCAACTGAACTAACCCATGGATGCTTCACTTTTCGAAGTCAGGTCAAAATGCCAGATTTGGCTAGAAACCTCTACCTAGGCGTAGTTCGCTCCGATAAACAAGAATATGGCACTCGCTCAGCGCGAAAACGCCTGCACTCCGCGCCAAGGGCACCTGTACATCCAAAAATTCTCCTAGAGGCACTAGGGCACATAAGGCACTAAGCGCGCCAGTAAGCGAACACAAACTGTTTTTCAGGCAAGTCAAGGAGAGCGCTAATGTAGTAGTGACGCTACAACCACTTTTTGCCACGTTTGCACAAGAAGCAAAAAAGTTAAGCTCAGCAGGGATCCGATCCCACGACCTGTTGCGTGGTAAACGCGGTGGAAAAAGCTCCATAACTCCGTTCAGAGAATCGTTCTGCAAATTTCGAAGGCAGATTCGAGATCAGCGTCCAAAACCACGTCTAGTGAGCTACATCTCATTACAAATGGCCACTTCGACCTGACGACCTTCCCTAGTAAGATGTCTCAATGTGCGCGTATCGTATTTGTGTGTGCGTCTGTCTGTGTGTCACGAGACAAGCGCGAATCCCAGTAGCAGTGAGAACTTGGTTCCAAAATATGATAGGGGTTGGGACAGGAACATTATCGATAGGTGACAGGAAGTGATATCAGCTGATAAGATCTGATAAAAGGCGTCAGAAGGAGATGGTCGCCGAATCCATAGCGCGGGTCACAACAATAGCAGGACGTTAGTTCCAAGGTATGATATAGGGTATGAGACGGGAACGTGATCGTTGGGTGTTAAGAACTGTTGGCGGCAGATCAGATTCGATGACA